TGTGTGTGTGTGTGTGTGTGTGTGTGTGTGTGTGTGTGTGTGTGTGTGTGTGTGTGTGTGGGGTCCTGGTTTCCCCTCTCTTCCTGTTGAGTTGTCCTTTCTTTGTTTCTTTGCATCTCAGTTGAGTTTAGTCTTCTGGGTTCTTTCTTCTTCTTCTTCTTCCTCTTTTATTATTTTATTTCCTTTTTGTGACCTAATACTTGGTGTCCTCCATTTAGGTCTTATATCCAGCAACCCATTTAACAGATAAGCTTTAAAGCTATAATTTCTTCGCTTTTGAGCCCTTATAACAGCAGTAAGTACTTCTGCAGGAGCCATGGGACATATAATTTCAAAAAGGAGGCAAACTATTATTTTATTAAAAGTGTATAGCCACAGAAGGAATATAAACACACCAGTCTAGACTCTAAATTAGTGTGAGGGTGATCTTTATTAAATTTATTAACCTCTACTATCTATTGAATCTGTTAATCTTATAACCCGTGAATTTAAAGTGCGCACGAAGAAAAAGACCTAAACGCAGGACACAGGAGGCAAAATTAAAATAGTTAAACTCTTTAATAACTTAGCAGCGGTCGCAAAAAAGGGCAAATAAGACTTGGAAAGGAAAAGCAAAGGTTGATAAAATGAGTAAAAAAGCCATAGGGGAAGACAAACACGATGAACCACAGAAAGAGAAAAAGGAGAATTCTGGATTGTAGAAAAAGCCGAACTTGTGAAAAAATGACAACAAACACGTGAAGTAAAACTTAGAGGGAGTGAAGACAAAAATAAATGCTTATAAATTCATAGATGACGAACTTAAACGAGTCCTTATAGTTTTTATTCATTTATTTATTTAGATTTACATCTAATTAAAACCTGTTGACTTAGTTTTTCCTTATTCCTGTATAAATATATATATACTGTTACTATGGTGAATATTAGTTTTTCAGATAATGGGGTCTGTTGGCATATTTCCACAGTTCTGCTGCGAGCACACACATGACACCCATCTAATGTTCAAACCTTTTGTTTGTGAGGGGCAGCCAATCACAGGCAGGTTTGCTTAACGGGAAAGGAAGGGAATAAATCATATTCTGTTTCGGACAGAATGTGATTTGGGGGGATTAACAGGGATTATTTTGATCTTTGAATCATGTAAATCTATTCTATTAGAGTCAGAGATATAAATTCAGTTCAATTCACTTTTATTTATATAGCACCAAATCAAAACAAGGAACTTTATATTGTAATGTAAAGACTCTACAATAATGCAAAGAAAACCCCAACAGACCTGCTTTAGCGACAGTGGGAAGGAAAAACTCTGTTTTAACAGGAAAAAACCTCCTGCAGAACCAGGCTCAGGGAGGAGCGGCCATCTAACTTCAGTTAGTCTCTGTATTGGGTTTAGCTTTGGCTAGTTTTAGTTTACTTTCTGTGTGGGTTTTAATCGGGGGTTTTTTCATCATTTTTGTTCACACCTAGGTTTGACATTTAGTTAATCATATAGTTATAAAAGCCATAGCCTTTATTCTGAGTGCAGGAGTATGTTTACACTGTTCCTCTGGTACTTTTGTTCCTGTAAATGACCTGATTTTTTTTCCCCACCACTGATTTAAAGTGTTTTCTCCTTCAGTGGCAGGCCATCTCTCTGACCGTCATTGAGAAGGTGCAGATAGCAGCCATTATTCTGGGTTCCCTGTTCCTCATCGCCAGTATTTCCTGGCTCATCTGGTCCTCCCTCAGCCCCTCAGCCAAGTGGCAACGTCAGGACCTGCTCTTCCAAATCTGCTACGGCATGTACGGCTTCATGGATATCGTCTGCATAGGTAAAAAGACAAAGAGACACAAGACTGACACACAAACATAAGATGCTTTCATAAGTGAACGTTTGGGACGTGATATAGTTGTTCTGTCATGTAGCACACAGCAGGAAATAGTCAGCTTCAGATGTGTTTGCACTACTGGAAATTATTTAAGTGAAGAAGCTGCAGGAGGCTGCACACATGACACCAAAGAAATCGGGTCATTACTCAAAAAAGTCATGCATTACACATATTCTTTACTTTTTTAAATGCAATGCATTATTTTACTCGTTATATCAATTTTCGTTACTTCACAGCAGCTGTGTGATTGCCAGAAAAGAATAAAACACCAACATTTTAATCTGCACACATAACTGCTTGAATCCCTCTTAAAAAGGACATTGTCAAGATTAGAGCATGGGAGGACCCAAATGTTGACTTAGGAAGCAAAAAGTAAAAATAAAACAAAACAAAAAAACGACAACACAAACTAAGAAGGTCGATGCATGAGATAGGAAGCACAGGTGCAGGGAAAGATGGACCTGAGAGGTAAACGGATGATCTCACAAAGAAGAAAGACTACATATACTTACACAAAGAGCTGATAGTAGAACAAAACACAGATTGGAACAATTAAGGGGCAGAGAAACAAGGAAGAGGAAAGAAAGAAAACCTACAACAGGAAGTAACCAAAATAGAATGACCAACAATGATCGGTGAACCCAGAGTGCAGGATGACATGGAAAAATGCAAAAGTAACATAAGAAAAACAACAAATATTACAACGACCATGACAAACATATAGGAAGTCTTTCTGAGGTTTTCAAACACTCGTTCATGGCTAGCTTTGTGCCAGCATCATAGACTGTATATAAAAGATGGCAGCATCTTGCTTATGCAAGTGCTTGTAGAGGTTTGATTTGTTCTCAGCAGATTCGGGACATCTTGGCCGTCTGATCACAGCTGATCTCAGGATCGACAGATGAGCCAGGAGATGAGGACTCTGTGTGACCACAAGGGTCACAGCGAGTGGGTGTGCACTATTAAGTTTAGTTAGGTGAGAAAAAGGGGAATTAGAGCCATAAAGAAAATTGCTACAGGCTAAATGGGCAGCGAAGCAACAAATTGAAAAGAGGGTGTCCCCGAGACCCTCTGCGATCCAGGCCCGTCAGGGATTTAGAAAAACTCCTTCTGGACATAAAGCTATGTGATCTGTCTAAACTATTACATAGAACATGTGAACATTAGTGTCATTTCAGTGTTCAGTGAATGTGGTTAAATTTAAGAAAAAAAAAACTTTCGACATGCTCTAATTTTGCCAGCCACCTATCCCACATGTCATGTCTTCGTCACAGAGATTAAATTTATTGAAATTATGGTATACTCATGATACCGATGCTCAAATAATGCTAAACAAAATTAGTATTTAAGGTAGTCTTAGATTTAGATCGTGACACTTGGAGCAGATGTAACATTTATTTCGTTGTACACTGTAAAAAAAAAAGTAATATAAAAGTATTTTACTGTGTATTTTACAGTTTTGTACTGTTTTTCTAGAATATCATTAAATTTACATAAATAAACTGATTTTACATTTAAAATGTAAATTAATGTAAAATCACTGTAAATGTAATAAAACATAATTTTCTCATTTTTTAAATATATTTAGATTGTTAAAATACATTCACAAATGTATCATAATTTCACAAATATTTGTCCGTTTATTTGAAAGATTGAACTGTTAAATTCAAATGTAATGCTATGGAAAAATATATAAATGATTCTTATAAACTTTTTTTACATCAAATAATATATTATTATATTGCTATTTAGTATTATTTGTAATTTAATTGTTGTTGTTGTATATAGCAGCGGTCCCCAACCTTTTTTGCGCCACGGACCGGTTTATGCCCGACAATATTTTCACGGACCGGCCTTTAAGGTGTCGCGGATAAATACAACAAAATAAAACTAGTACCGGTACCAAAAAAAAGAAGATTTATTCATAACACACGTGAAAAGACCCAGGAAAACCGAGTTAACGATAAAAACGATAACAAAATAACGCTGAAAACCGATAAAAACCCTGAAAACCATACATTTCACACCTGAGCCTCAACTCTCGCGGCCCGGTACCAAACGACTCACGGACCGGTACCGGTCCGAGGCCCGGGGGTTGGGGACCGCTGATTAGGGCGATCGTGGCTCAAGAGTTGGCCGTTCGCCTTGTAATCAGAAGGTTGCCGGTTCGAGCCCCGGCTCGGACACTTCACCTACCACCTACTGGTGATGGCCAGAGGGGAATTATAAAGTGGAATTGTAAAGCGCTTTGAGGGTCTCAAAAGCGCCATATGAATGCAACCCATTATTATTTAAACCAACTGTTAACCTTATATTTCTGTACATTTAAGTATTATTATTCATATTGCCGCATTCATTGACCTTGTTTATAGGTAATTTCATTGTTTAATCACGTTACAATGTTCCTAGTTTAATGTTCAAAAGCACTTGAAAAAGGCAAAATCCCATGTAAAATTAGGGCAACAAACTGTATTGTCATTACTGAAAATAACCGTATTTTCATGTGAAAGTTATTTTCTGGTATTTTCTGGTATTATTTTGGCGCCCCAACTGCCCGAATATTACTGTTTTTTTAGGATTTGTTTTTTTTACGGTGTAGTTTTTAATCCTGTTTTTTTCCTGTTCAAAGCGGCATTTAATTTCCTCTTTTAAGTTTGTCAGAAGGTTCAATAAACACTCCAGTTTCAAAGAATTAGAATTTTATGCCAATTATTAAATGGTTCAGGCAGTTAAGAGAGTTTACATGTGTTTTTCAGCACTACAAATATTGTGTGGATTAACGGCGACAGCTCAAAAACACTGTTAAATTGAATGAATTTAAAAAGTGTCAAATTTCAACCCATCCCTATGTACTTCAAGGGGTTGTAACTCTGAAAATATTCATAGTATGAAAGTGAAATTTTCCATGGCTTAATTAAACATTTTATATTGTTGGTTGATTAAGATGAGGTTGAATGATCCTTATTAAGAGGGAGCATATTCAGTTTGTCCAACTAAGATAAATATATAATATTAAGAGTGTAAGGTCAGATTTAGTGGCTTTCTGATGCACTCTGTCATTATAGTCCATTATTGGTAAGTTGATAAAGGTTACAAACTGGCTAATGTCCAATTCTCACACCCTACCTCCATCTGGTAAGTCCTAAAAAAGCCCAAGGTTGGGAATTGACTCCGTTTTTGGAGACAGCCTCAGTGCAGGTGTGAAAATGTCACACAGGAGTCGTCGACTGCAGGAGCTGAAAACATGAAAAGATGTAGATCGAAGGCTTAGGCTGCATTATGCAACATCAAGACGAGCAAAGAAAAACAGGATGCACTGTGCAATGACAAAAATATTAATAAACATAAGTTGGATTATGCAAGGACAAACTAGCGCGAGGATGAAAGCTTGTATTCGGCTCACATTTTTCTGGCTTTTAAGTTCATGCACAATTACAACACTAAGCAGGCAGATGGTGCATAGGTAGGAGATAACAACTACACTAAAAGCCAAACAAATTTTTGATGATGTTGCAGACTACAAGAGACTGTTTTTGGGGGGAGGTTTGGAGCGACTGGCTTGATTGTTCTTGTGTAACTGCGAGCTGCCCGCCTAAGACAACAGTGAGAACAGATGGCATCAGATATCTGTACTGTGATTACTGCCAACTGTCTATTCTCAACCACAGATGAGATGGAAAGTTTCTACCTGTGGTGCCGATGCAGCTCCCGGCTACCTTTCATGAAATATCTTCTGCCTCCATGCACTGTCCTTCACCTTCTGCTTTCTTCCCCACCCAGGCCTAATCATCCACGAGGGATCGTCGGTGTATCGAATCTTCAAGCGATGGCAGGCTGTCAATCAGCAGTGGAAAGTACTGAACTATGAGAAATCGAAGGACTTGGGCGACCCGGTGAGTTCGAGCAGTAAGACAGGCGCTCGAGGCTCTCGCGGTAACCCTCACGGTCTGGCCAGCAGCAGCAGCGGGCGACCGAGCAGGAGGCTAAGAACTATTCTGAACCACCACTGTGGATACACCATCTTGCACATCCTGAGCCAGCTGAGGCCCAACGACCCGCGGATCAGCGCTGCCGCCAACCGGGAGGTGGTGATGAGGGTCACCACCGTATGAGCGGCACGACAGGATGAGACCCCGTCTTTTGTGTCCCGATGTAAATGACAGGAGGGACTTGATGTTGAATACTAAAGACTAAGTAACAGGAGCCCCGTGAGGAGCTGAGTGATGCCCGGAGCATCAACAGACAGCACACACGAGGGTTTCTCCTCTTGTTTCATACAACAAAAGAAAGCCAGATGCTCCTTTTCAATAATTAAAGAACTGATGAAAATACAGGATTAAAAAGCATTAAAAGACATCAAACGTGAAACATGTGAACAGGCTTTACAAACCTGATCCAAGATGACGAGACGTTTTTTCCAGTTCAATATCAGGATGCACAGAAGCATTTTTTTCTTTGTTTTTAATCCTCTTGGTTTGATTTGTATCTCTTCTTCTTCTTCTTGTGTTTTTTTTTTTTTTTACTCACTTTGATTTTGTACGGATGTATGATTTTAGAGGAAATCATGTAACTCCATACATGCCAAGCATTTCCAGACAGCTATGTATCATGATCTTAAAAAAATTTCTACAAGCTAAACCGATGCTGGTAAACAGACCGAAAACTGAAACTAAACAAACATGTGGGCTCCACAGAGGTGACAACAGGACAATAAGTCATAATGAGTAAAAAAAAAAAATGAAAAATGAAAAAAAAGAAACAAAAAATCAAAAAAAAAATAAAGAAATCAGTAAGATTTCAGTTACACTTTTAACCTTTCTGCAATAAAGATACGTATGTACATTTCACAGGGAATTTTGCATGGGTATATAATTTTATTCTTGATCACATTACATAAGCACATGACAAAATTTGCTCTATTTCGAATGGTGCTTGCCAAAATAAACACTTAAACATCCAATTTCATTGCACCAACTTTTTGTCAGCAGGACAAATGGCAGTGTGTTACAGCTCTTTCAGCTAAAATACAGTTTGTTGCTGCTGTGTGCTGATTCAAATTTGATAATAAGTTAAATCATTGGATTAAAAAAACGGGGATCGAATGATCTCTTACTTCTCAGTCTCACTCAGTCTCTTATTTACCCAACCTGTAGCGTAACGCATGGTTTGGTTGAGTGTGTCATTGTTTTTCTGGTGTGGAAATGTAGTGATGTGCTGGAAATAAAGCGGGACATCCTTCATTTAGAATTTTTTTTAAAACTTGATTAACCCTATTTACAGGGGATCAAGTCTGTTTTATTTCTCTCTTTTTCTGTCATATATCTATATACTGTTACTATGGTGAATATTCATATTAAACATGACCAAAGTTTCAAATAATGAGGTCAGCTCATGTGCAAATAATTTCTGTGATTTAAAAGCTCAGGCTTCACACTGATCTAAACACTCATTCTCAGGATGTGTTTTCCAACTCTTGGCTCTGTATGATGTCAGAGAAAGAGAGCGTCCCTAACATGGTCATCTCAGGCCATTTAACAGGTGACCAATCAGAAGAAAGTTGGCTTAATGCAATCATTTTCAGCTTCTTCTCCTAACTTGTCCTTGCCATCAGTGAAGTAAAGGTGTGAAGGAGAATTTATCAGGGGTTAGGAAAAACCCTCTTTATCACACATTCACACTTAGAATCGACTCCTTGTTTCATGAAGGAACCAACAGTGAAAGTATCAGTTACAAAAGCTGGACATTTTAAAGGCAAAGCATCATATAATGTAATGCATCTTATTTTATTTATCTTGTTTTACCTTCTTTTAGAGATGACGCAGTTTAACTCATTCACCCCTCCTTGGTTCAGTTTAATGCGAAGCTATAAATCTAATTTTGTCTCATGCGTCACTTACCCCAGCTTCCCCAAAGTAAACACTAATTCACGAAAGGCTGCAATGCAGCAACAGATAACTAATGCAAAGTGAACCTTAAATGCATTTTGATCAATGAATGTAGATCATCATGTGGATTTGGAGAATTTATATAAATCATGGTGTCGTGGTCTCCTAACAAGTGATAAATAGACTTATGCAGCACCTTTAGCTGAGCACTCACAGCTAAATCCACCGATCTTCTGATTGGTAGCCCCACAACGAGCGAATGATCCCCAGTTTGATTCTGGGAGGAGACACAAATCCCCTGGTGGTTGTGTCGTGAAGGGCATCTGGTGTAAAAATCTGCCAAATCAAACATGCGGAGCGACCCGCTGCGGTGACCCCTGGTGAATAAGGGAGCAGCCCAAAGTAGCTCGGCTATTTAAATCTGTGAGCTTCGTGCGAGGCGGCTCGTCGATAAGCAGCAGATTTTGTTCCAGCAGTGTGATTTTCAGAGTTCAGCTGCGAGTTTAACAGGCTGCTGTTGACAACATTTCAGCAGATTATGGCATGAAATGAAAAACATACTTATAATAACATTTACATGATATTCGCCTCTTTGCCAGTATTCCTGATCATCTTCATGAACGGTCAGATGGTCGGTCGCTGTGAATAACAGGATGGCATATCCTCCTCTCTTCTCATAAAGGATGATTAAATCTATCGTCTTTTGAGGGAGGGGAGACAGGAAGCACTGAAGCTCCTTTCTTCAGTATTTGGAGACTTCAAAAGGCTCTTATTGTGGCCCCCATGCAGATACTTCAATGCCATTTCACTTAGAAACCTTAGTATTCAAACACACCCCCAATATAGGATGAATAAGGACTATGATTCATGCAAAGCTACCCTAAAAGACTAAAAGGATAAAAATAACATGTTGCAAATGTTGGAGTGTAGTGTACTATTGTAGTTTAAGACTGGATTGTAAAGCAGACGATTCAGCAAAAGGTGAGAAACAAACTGCATGACTAAGCAACTCCACCAGGAACATAACAGGCCATGCAATAAGGCAAAGAGGAGGGCAGGACTATCGGTGCATATAACAAGTGAATATCAACACAGACAGGAAGTGAAACCCAGAGAAAACAGGAAACAACCCTACAGAACACCAATAGAGGAAACAGGGGAGGCAAAAATAAAAAACTCAAGACAGGAAGCAAAATGAAATGATGAGTCAGTGCAAAGAATTTCACAGCAACAACCAAGATATTTTAAAATAAGAAAAAGAAATGTAAGTCCAACAGTACGTCTCAGATTTTAAGAAATTCTGCTGTAGAAAAGGAAAGTAGTCTGTCAGACTCTTTGGGTATAAATTGTAAAAGATAAATGTGTAAAATGACAAAAAAAAAGTTCTGTTAGGCGATCGTGCAGACTGTCCTGTTAATTCACAGAATATATCCTTATTTTATTTTTTAGCACTTTTGTAAAAAACAAATTTCCATAGCAGTCGAAAATGTAGTGAAAAAAACAGGAGCTTTCTGTCATTTAACTGTTTATCTGCTACTTATGATTTATGCTGGTGCATTATGGCTGCAAAAATACAGTTAAAAATCTAAACTCTACGTCCTCCTTCACATTTTCCAAAGCCGCCCAGTGGGCCAGACTGGAGGCCCCGGGCTTTATTTTTGACACCCTTGGGCTGGAAGCTATGCATACCGTCTGAGAGGGTCTGTAAAAAGGAATGGCACTGGCATGAATAATGGGACTGGCTGACTGAAAGCGGCGAGTCGTAGTTTGTATTCCTTACTTGTGATGAGTTAGAGCAATGAGAAGAAGAGCCAGAGGGCAGGCTCGGTTTCAGGAGAGATGAAGAGACGGCAACCAGAGAATATGGATTTCAGCAGAGGGTGCAGGGCTGCAAGCATGGATCTCCACGAGGCAAGGCAGGTAAGTCTTACAGGTAGGTAAACAGTTTCCTTAAACACGACACAGAACAAGAGACTGGAGTTACATGGTGAGAACAGAAGTCATCAATGAGAGCCAAATTACTGCGATAGTGACATAGAAAAACATTCAACACGAGTCCAAACATAACCAGCCTCAGCGGCCATGGCAGCATAAATGTTCCCCTTTACATTTCAGGTAAAGACCTAAGAACTAAGACCTCATCCAATGCATGGAATACCAACCCATTTCACAAGCTTCAATATCATAGCTTTTCCTACCTTTGGTCATTTAATAAGAATTAATTGAGCCTGGTGTTAAAGAAAAGTAGTTGATCTTTAATCTTGCCCTTGCCCGAGGATGACAACCCAACAGCTGTGCAGGAAGTTTGGTGAAGAACCAGCAGAACAAAAGTTTATCTGAAACCTTCTGCCATGCAGCTGGTGGTGCATAAAATTAAGCCTCTGTTCTCTGTCTTTGAGTCCATAATTTGTGTTAATATTTACATTCAAACATCAAAGTGATGAAGCTAATTACTTTATTTTACAACAGAAATAGTCTTGTGGCAAATCAACACACAGTCTTTACACTCGGTAAGGATAAAGGCTGCTCAGTCTTCGACCGCCAGTGAAACTGACTTCCTCCAGCTTCAGATTTCCTTTTTGTAGCCATTCTGTGGCAGCTAGTCCACAGTTACAGGTGCTGTAGAGCTGCACCTGTGTGTTTAGTTCTAGCTATAAATGGATGAGACAGAATTTTACACTGACACGAGAGCCAGTTTAAAAACTGCAAAGGACCAGATCTGGCACAGTGTGAGATGAATAAGGATCTTTATTGAACTTTGAGTCATGCAAAGCTGAATTCTGTCTGGTATGATCATTTTTTTCTGATACATCACTTTTTGCTGTACTGAAACTGAGATTTTGTTTAATAACTCAGGGTTTTAAGGCTTTTATTTAGCCTCTAATTCCTTTTTGATTAGATGGATGTAAAAAAAAAAAAAGTCAATTTTGCAGTTTTTCAAATCTCGCTCACAGATTTGTTGTATTAATAACTGTGTCTGATTCACAGAGCCCAAGGTTGTTCAGCTTGGCCTCTCAGCTGTTACTGACTAAATCTGACTCTATCTATATGCTTTTTTATTTTTAAAAAATATCCTTACACTTAAAGGATGACTAAAAGTCTTTCTGTAAGAGCCAAGAAGATCACAGTTAAAGTCATAGTTGGTTAAAAAGCTTATTCTTCGAAGAGCAGGGTTCCAAGGTCCTTGAAGCTACAACTAGCTTCCTTCTGCTTTAAATTCAACAATAATAATAATCATCATCATCATATTGGTCACAATTTTCTAAGTAAGCCATTAATCTTAAATCATAACCTTGGAAAAGCTGGGCATCTTATTACTTTCTATAAGACTATAAAAGAAACATTACCAGTATTGTGGCGACTGTGCTGCGAGCTCTCTGCCTGAGGTTAAAGTATTAACAGGCCAAACACAGACAAAAACAACAAAAAGTATATTTTCTTGAGTATTTATGCAGCATTATCTGCACAGACGTGTCCGGTGAAGTAATGAGGGCTTCAACAGACGTTCTTTTGTGCCCTGAAGTATGATGCAATACTGGGTTTTACTTAAGAGTTTACATAACCTTAAACTAAAACATCAGACCAGAGCACAACAGTCCCAGCAGACATCATCCTGAATCAGCTGACAGCCCAGCTGATTCTAAGCATCTATTTAATGAATCGCATACATACGCTGCTACTGCAGTCTGCTGCTGCACACATGCAAGCCGCTTTGCAAACCACTTCCATGAGCTCACAACACATATTTCAACACAAACACGTGACCCAGTCATAAAACAGGTCGGGAAATTTGTACCAAAGCCTCCACATGTGTGCTGACAAATGTCGTCAGCTGATCAGTAAACATCTCCTGCACAGTTATTTTAATTATTTTAATTTTGTAAGTGAATTGACTAAAACTAAACTAGACTAAAACATCAACACTTTGTTTTATTTTTATTTATTTTATTTACATATATATATATTTTTTTTTTTACATTTAATAAAGTATAATAGCCTCGACAGGGGCAAATAACAATAATAAAATAAATAATAGGTTCTCTGTGCCAGCGTTGATTTTATTAGTAATTCTTTTTTCCCAGCTCTAGACGCTCAGTTTGCCTGTTGTTAAAAAGAACGATGAATCCGGAGTTTCAGAATATAAACCCAGCAGATGAAGCTCGTGTGTGATGTTGAAACGTGGAGAGCACCGTGTAACTGAGGCGTCAGTAAAATAAAAGCTCAGCACAGTGACACATCAGTGCAGTGAGCTCTCAGCAGAGTGGCGCTTCCGGAGTGTAAATCAGTCAGCATTTGTCGCCACCTAGTGGTTGCTCCCATTGTTGTAACTCACTCCAGAGAATGGCTCAAGTCTCTCTTGGACATAAAAACAAATCACAGCTCTTGCTGCTGCTAGAGGGCGTACAGACACCTGCAGCAGGAGGTGACTGCACTCTTTAAAGGTATCCTTACAACAACATATCTGATAAGTACAATAATTATGGCTTTGGATTAAATATGTTCATTTTACAAAGCAAACATCTCGATTTTTAATTTTTGCATGAAAGCAATCCTGTTAAATTCACATTACATGTAAATACTGCAACAGCAGTATACCACAATTAAAGGGTTGAGAGCATGGCATCTTTTGTATTTTTTGTTAATAATTTCATCATTTTAAAAATTAAAATACAAAACAAACACACATTTTGTCTCCAGCTTCCAGTATGTTTGGACTCTTAGTGTTTTAGAAACCTTATTCAGACCTTTTCACCTGTCTGCCTGTCTGAGTAGTTTTATTTCTCAGCTTCGCTCATATTCTTTTCTTTACATGTTCTCTTTTTAGTTTATGTGTTTAGGATATTATAGCACGGATTTATAGTGTCACATAACCTTTTAGTGTTTAATGGGATTTGTTGTTTCCTGTTGTATAAAGCTACATAATCACAGGAACTTGTCATGTGCAAGGAAAGATAATTTTAGCCCCTAAGTGTCCTCATTAAACTGCACTGTTGATGCAAGCTGCAATTAAATCGTTGTTTGGTCAACAAGACACCAATCTGCAACAGGATTAACAAGGATTTAGAAACATTCTTCTCTTCCACATCCATTTCTTTGTCTTGTCTAATTTTAAATCGAATAATTTTGCACCACAGTTGGTTTAATTTACTGTAAAGCAAACAAAAGACATGTTTTATTGTACTGTGCGATTTTAAAAATGAAACAAACTATTTAATCAGTATTCTTGTGGTTAATTTGCACTATTTAAAGTTATAACAAGAGCAAAACACACACAAGTTTGGTATCTTAACACTGGCTCACAGTGTTTTTAGATCCATTGTCTCACTTTTAACAAGCCAGTACATTTAGCACATTGTTGCTCCTAATAATAACTTCATTATTGATTGATTTGCTAGTTAAACAGCAGTGATAAGTGGCTTGTTTTGCCCACTCTGGTTTCTGGACGGTTTTCGGGTTATAATAAATAATTAATAAGCTAGTGCCGCCCAATTTAGGGACCTGACTCACACCAGGTGTCTTGAAAGATGATTACAGGTTAGTATTAAATGACTAAAAGCTAAATTCTTTAGAGAAATGTATCTAAAGCTACAGTTTTACCTGATTAAAAGTAAAAGTAAGTTTCTCATGGACACAGACGTGCGTCAACCTCGTTATGGAGGTTGTGGGAACGGCTGCATTAGGTTCCTTTAATTAATGTTGTGATGGTCTTCTGTCAGTGTGTGTATTGCTAATCCAGGCATTATAGAAAGGTGTTGATGTGTTGTGTATTTGTATTGCTGTCACTATTAATTAACCATACTCACTTATTTTACAAAGCCAATGTCGAGACTCTGAATAAAACCAATAATGTGACATCTTTGTGTACTATAAGTTTTACATTTTGGAACATTTAACCAAATGGGGAATCAAGGAACTCATTAAAATCCAAATAATATCCATGCTCATGATAAGTGGATGTAAACCTCTGATTACAACTGTAGCATTGCTCTTGTTTTTTTATTCAGGTTTTTAAATGTTAACGTTATATTTAAGTTGTCAGAGATTAATAAAAAGCTGTCAGATAATACAAATATACAGCGTCCCTAAAAGAACATGAGGTGTGGCGTGAAAGTGAAATTCCTTTTTTATTCAGACATTGAGCCGCAAGTAAAACTTTAAATTCAATTTTGCATAATAAGCAGTTAAAGTCTGTCTATCCTAATGAAAGCTAAAATGTGCACAGAAAATTACCATATACGTACAGAGATGTGATTATTCTTTTACAAAACCAGCTATGTAAGTCAGGCTATAAAGATACATATATTTTTGAATACAAAAAAATAGGTTTTCGTGTAAATTTCGCAGATAAAAGGTTAATAATTGCGTTTAACGTCCAAAGTTTGAAGCGGTAAAGTGAATAATTTCACTTCCCTGTAATTTGAGAGCACTCTAGTCTGTTTATGTACCTGTCACTACCTCATGTGGACTTTTCTTTGAAAATTGCAGCTCGGAACGTTTGATGTGACTTTAATTTTGAATTGAAGCCAGCACAAAAAAGAAAAAAAGAAAAGAAAAAAGCTGACGCGTGGATTTCAGCTTCACTCCCACCCGGACGAGTGTGAAAATTAATGTTTCATTAAAATATTAACCAGGTCGTTCGCTTTATTTTGAAATCTCCTGCACAAGATCTCATTTCCTGCTGTTCAGCTCAGGTCGTTCGGGCAAACCTGGTCACGTGGTAGAAAGTGGCAAGAGGACGGGATCATTTATCAAAGTTTAAGGTTATATGTGTGACTTTGTCCTCAGGGAGATTCCCCTTCCTCCTCCTCCTCCTCCTCTTTACCTGCACGATAAGTCAACACCTTCAGTCGTGGAGAGGATGTCCAACCTGCCGGATGTTCCTGCTCCGCGTAAATTCCACTGGATCCAAGAAGGAAGCGAGGACACCTTTAGCGGCTTGGAGTTCAGAAGTTTAGTTCTGGTTTCGTCCGATGAGAAGATTTCAAAGTGTTAAAGACACAAAGAAGAAACATGTTTTCCTTCCTGCGCTCAGGTGAGTTTTCCCTTTGGATTGTTTCCTCGTGCAGCACAGGTGATGATGCCTGGAGATCTACACAGACACAAATTATAGGATATTATAGCACAGATTTATCGTGTCACAGAGTTCATATTAACCTAGTCGTGTTTATTGGGTTTATCGTTTCCTGTTGTATAAAGTTACACTATCACAGGAACTTGTTATAACGAGCAGGGCAGGTAATTATACCCCCTTAACTGCCCTCATTAAATTTACAGTATTGATGCGAGCTGCAGTTAAATCAGTAAAGTAACCCGTCTGTTATATTATAAAATTCTAAATGACTCTATAATAAAAGTAATTCTCCATCTGTGGAAGTTTAATTGTACCAATATTATTTAGAAATGTGTGATGAGCGCTGTAAACAGAAAACATGTGCGTAAAATACTGATACTTATAAATGTGTGATTACAGGCTTCTTTTCTGATGTGATTTCAAATAAAATGCTTAATCATTTAAAAAGCATGCTGTTATGAATAAAAACTGTAACTATTGAGCTGAATGAGCAACAAAAGCAATGTAACATTATTTTTGGGGGGCTCAGGGTTTTATTAGAGGTACACGGTGGGTGTCTGCATCTGTTAGCCTGTAAGACTGGAAAGTGTCTGATTGAGAGAAGCTTCGTTTTTCAGCAAGACAGTGATCCCAAACACACTGTCAGTGCAGTAAAGTCATACCTGCACAGAAAAGTATACAGTGGAAGTCTATCAGTCATGGATTGGCCTCCCCAGAGCCTGCACCCCGACATTATAGAAGCATTATAGGGACATCTGGACAGAGGACAGAAGAAAAAATGAGCCAACATCCAAAGTAGAGCTTCGAAAGTCCTTCCAGAGGCCTGGAGAACTAACCCCGAAGACTGGTCACACCAAATATCGACTTTCAAGCTCGTTATAATTGTACAAACTCTGTTTTTATCTTATATTGCACATGTTTCAATAAATCTTTGCACCTTTTTCACATTTTGCAAGAAAAATTTAAAAACTGAGGAGTGACTCAAGACGTTTGCACAGCACCGCACATGTCTTTTGAAGTATTAGAATACATAATACATACACATATGAGAGAACTGAGTGGAGCCCCGACTACACATTTGTACATAGTTTCTCATGTGGGAAGGATTTGATTCTGTGTATGTACTCTGATTACATAAATCACTTTAATCCCAGTATAATTACCTGTTTGCTTCCAGGCAGAAACCCCGCTCCTGAGCAGATCCACATTACCTCGCTACCTCCCAGTATTCCCACAGACCAGGAGCCAGAGCAAGCTGAAGGACAAGGTGAGGATGTTTATCCTGTACACAGCGTTTTTTTTTAAGGACTCATCACATTTTTATGAAATACATGAAACCTTTCAGCCAGACTCGCTCAGCGACATGGAGCGCTACAGGAAGCCGTTACAGCGTCGTGACAACAAAACACAAATCTGCTCCGTGTCGGGGGAAGTGAAGCATCAGCTCCTCTTTTCCCCTAAAAGCAGAACAAACTGTTGACTTTTATCGTATTATTAATTCATCTCTGTTCAACCAAGACTCGAACTTTGCTTTCCCTTTCCAGGCGTTAACAGCTTGCCTCCAAATAGATTTCTCAACAAATTTGTGTACAAGAGAATTAATTTGAGTCCTCTGATTTTTTTTATTTTGCATCTTTTTTCAATTAAAATATGGAGACCATTAAATTACTAGCTTGCAGTATTTCTGTCTCCTTTTGGAGACTCATTTCACAGCTGACCAGGGTTATGGTGGTGCATCTTCCACAGACATGCATCTTAGGTTACCTGATTCTAAATTGGACGTAGGTGTAAATGATGGTTGTCTCTGTGCTGTGGAAACCTCTCCTAGATATACCTTCCCTCTTCCGTATGAGATCTGGGATAGGCTCAAACACTCCTGAATAAGCTTAGGAAAAAGGGATGGATGCCTGTATTAGACCAGTGATTCCCATAGACTGTATATGAAGATGGACATAGCCACTGTGACAGTGGTTAGTGGTTCCTGTTATGAAGCACGGAGCTTAACATGTCTGTCGTCTGTCATATTTTGAAAAAAGGCGTAACAAGCAAGGGCGGGGTGGATCTGACAGCCTGACAGGTTTATCCTCCTTCCTGACTTGAAGAGTGGCCACATATTTTCTAAATACCTTTTAAACAAACAACTGAACACATAAAGTCACCAGTAAAGTATTTTCCCCACAGGCATCTATACAACTTAAAGGCTTTTTGCACCCTGCTGGACAAAAGAATACATGTTTAAGGCGCCTTCAGATGAGCTTTTTACCCTTTTTTTAACTTTATCTTCGATACTTTGCACACACTCAGTCCCCAGTCCTTTGTGCTGCTCCCAGATGGTGGGAATTTTGAGACTGTACCAAATCAACAACCCCGACTGACAGCAGGAAGGAAATATGATCACTTTTTTCCTGTGGCACAGACCACAACTAAACACCGGTGCAGATGACCGTCCACCTAAAGAGAGGGAGTTGGTACAGACCAAAGTGACAGCTCCCTGTCTTCTGGCTCCAGCTGGACTGAGGATGTCAACAGCCTTCAGCTCAAGTGTGTCACCCGCCTGGAAAAGCTGGTTAAAGTTAGCACGATCCCAGGCTAAAGAGACAAACTGCAAACCAAATGTGTGTTCTGAGAGACACCTGGTCTGCTCAGTGTCTCGTGAGGCCATGAAGGCAGGACATACACCGGTTGAGTGGGGACACTTGTCAGATGTCAGGCTAGATCTGTCAGCGCAGAGGTGTGCGCACTTTAAAGACGTGAATTAAAACAGTGCTGAATTATGCTAAATATATGCTAGACATAGTAGAGAATAACCGCTCCTTGTTTTAAAAACAAGAGTTGAAAACTTCTGTTTTCTTTACAATTGGAGAAAATTTGTTACAGTTTATAACTAAAAGTTTGTTTGCAAACTCAAGTGGAGCGTCCACAGTTGAAGTAGACTTAAATCATATATGATGGTCTATGGACCAGTTCTGGCCCTGGGGCAGTTTTTCGCCCATGATCTCCATGTTAAAAGAAGAAGAGGGCCGTGAACCGAGGATATATCAGCAGATGTACGTTTTTTATTTGTTTTTGTAAAGGTGTGCCTTGAAATTTTGGCTTGCCCTTTGGTGTGCCCTGGGCAAGAACATTTTCAGAAAACTGCTGGATTGAAAGTCTTTAAAAAGTACAAAACAATAAAGAAGACGTTGCGATGTGATCAAGAGCTCCTGAGCGGTGATTGTTGGTCACCTGCTGATTGAAGGTAAAGAGAGAAAAACCTGAATCTGAGTGTTTCTTCTGCTTGACTCAGAGAAGTTCCTCAGGCCGTGAAACGCTGCACTGCATTTGTAGTTAATGCACTTCTCAAAGGGCATTTCCACTCATAAACATATATTGGCTGTTGCTTATTTTGGGCTGGACAGTATTGCTTAAAATGCCATCAGGATAGATGTCTAAATATCATTCAATATAAATATTTACAATGATAAATGTCAGCATGTTGTTGATTTTTTTTTCCTGGCAGTTTCCTGCCGAGGATTAGGCTGATGCTGGTCGACTCATGGGGATCGGTAATGTTCCACTCGCTGCTGTTATAGGATGTGAAATAGTCTCAGTTTATGCTGTTCTGATGTTTGTCACATTGGAAAAAGCCCCGAAAAACCTCTCCTGAAGTTCTTATGAATTATAAGCTCAAAATTGATCAGCTCTTTGCTGAATATTTGAGTTTTTGTTCTTATTTTATTTATTTTAAATTATGATAATGATTTTATAACTTTTCTCTTGGATGTTTGAGCTTCACTGTGTACAAGGATTCAGGCAGAAAACTCAGGATCTTCTGCCGAAAGCTTTTCTGAGCTCAAACAAAATTTTACTTTATGCTGCAAAGCTGTGAGCAGGATTTATGTCATGGCTGGTCTTGGAAGTCACTCCTGGTCCAACGGGCAACTTAAACTGGGTTAATGTGTTTTAGAAGCATTAAGACACTTTAACTTTACACGATGTTCTTGATATGAAGAAGAACAAGTTCTGAATGTATTCGTGCTCAGCCATAATTGCAGCTCGTCTGCTCAGATAAGACTGATGCAGCTCATGTTCCTGATAGCAGAGACATTGCTGGCTCAGATTAAGAGACTAAAACAGGAGAAACCTGCTGTAAACAAAAGCCTTCACATGACCTGGACCCCTGAAGGCTTCAAAAAACAGGAGGAGCAGGGAGGAGGCATAACCCATCATGTGTTCTGGCTGAAAAGTGAAAAGGCGGAAAGTCATTTTGCTAGAAAGTTGAAAATAGTTCTACAAAAAAAAGGGCAGCAGACTAAGAAGTAAATGTCAGAACGGATTATTTTATCACGAGTTTTATCATTTTTATTGCTTAATTGATGAAAGGATGTTATTAAACAACTAGAAAGCCCAGGATGGATATCCAGCAGACGGTGACGTGTCCAACATCAGTTAAAGTTGGATTTTCAACCAAGACCAGACATTTAGAAAAGACAGTCAGTTAGCCATATTTTTTTAATATTAAAAACTTCTTTACACCACTGCGTTCTCTCTACATGTGAAGCATTGTCTCATGGAGTGTTGCATGATGAGCTTATTTGTTTAAGCCTCTAAACCTACTGTTTCCACCTGCTAAGTCAACACAGTGATGCACTGTAACTCTGACGCCTCTGAGCAAGAGATGCCCGCCCTTAAAGTTTGGAGAAGTGTGGCACTTTCCAAGCAGATATAGACACACGTAATTTATTCTTTGTCTTTTCGTTGACCTTAAAACCTTTTAACCATAACTTGATGTTGTCTAATAAAATATTCTTCAAGTTTTCGCTGTTTGGGATGAGCTGTGTGGAGATCTGCGCGCGGACAGTGGAAACGTAGACCTGAGCCTAAACTAAAGACTCTAATGTTGACTTTCCAGCTCATAAAGTCATGTTTTTAAAGGATTTTAAATAAGTGTTTGCTGGGTGTGAAATTACTGTTTAAAGCAGAGTATTTTTTATTGTATCTTCAGTTATGTGTTTGGGGCCCTGTAATCTCAGCAGACACATGGTTATAGTTAATAGATGTTTGGATGGACGATAGACTTTATCTGTTTAAAGGATAGGATTTACAGAAAACGCAGAGGAAACAGAATAAAAGAAAGGAGACAAAACACACATCTGACTGAACGTGGCAGCATTATTACCTGCACCTCTGACAGCAGTTAACCTTTGGTTTATATGAAAGTTTAAAACAAAACTGCATTCTCAACAAGCTAAAAGATAAACGTGGAACTAGGGCTGTTCGATATAACGATGTATATCGATGACGATATAAAAACATCTATCGTTTCATTTTACGCTATCGTTTGTTTCGTGGTGTCGCAAAATAAACTGTTTACGGCAATATTTTTTCATCGTTCTGATGGTCACTGTAGTGGCTATATTAATTTCTTAAAGTTCTCTCTTTCTCTTATGTTTAATATAACCACACTACTGACGGACAAGCGCCTTTTTTTTATGCCTTGTCATTAGCAACAGAGATGGTAACACCTTCGCGTGTCCGCTTGTTTATGTTCCACATAAACCTTTCACAATAAAGCTCAAGATCCTGTTGAGACCTTTCAAAATAAACTGAATCACGTGAAAGAGCAGATTATTTATGGATGAGAATTTAAAAAAAGAGCCTCCAGGTGCTAAAAAATAAACTTTAGACTCAAACGTTAGAACAGGCTTTTCCGCAAGTCGAGCTGCCCGAGATTCACAGAATTTACAGAAAATTAAAAAATTTTGTGATTTATATCGTTATCGGGACGATAGAATTCTTATATCGGGATATGAGATTTTGGTCATATCGCACAGCCCTACCTGGAACACATTATGTTATTATACTATAAGCTTCGCATTTTTATGTATATATCAGTTGTTTTCCTACCCGTCTGCCCGCCTAACATGCTGTTTGTGTGTTGTTGACCTGTGTAAAGTTCACTTTTCTACTTTCTTACGATGCTTTTGTCATTATGTTGGTGTTAAATTTCAGCGGATGACGTGGTTGAAGAGAAAGGGGTGATCCAGACCACATACACTCACAGAGTACACTCCACACCCTCGGTCTTCCTCCAGAATCACAATGATGAGCCTGTTTCCAGCACTTACTTTGATGAGAAAGTCCCTGTCCCTGAGGAGGACGGCGAGGTAAATCAACCCTGGATTACATATGCAAACCTGAGTTAAATCAAGATTTGATGTTATTAGTGGTGCAACTTTTGTTTCCCCCTGCCACAGAGGTGGATAAGTCTCCGCAAGCTCTGGGCCTTCACCGGCCCGGGGTTTCTGATGAGCATAGCCTACCTGGATCCAGGTAACATCGAGTCTGACCTGCAGTCAGGTGCCAAAGCTGGCTTCAAGGTAACTGAGATCATGCTTGGTTTGTGTTTTGGTTGATTAAGAGTTAGCTTATGTCAGAGAAAGTTAAACTGAAGTCATTTTTATTTGCAATTATGAGAATTATTTGGTAATTAACTATTTTTCAACTATACTTCACAAATTATTTTGTACAAGCAGCACTTTAATGTCCCCAAATATCTAAGTTATAACAACACAGGACCAAGAAAGGCAACAAATTCAAAAAACGTTGATTACTTGGGTACTAAAATTAAAAAGAAATGCAGCCTTAGTTAAAAAACAAAGCTAAACATATCTAATATTTACAGTGGGAACCTTTTGTTTTAAAATATCTGCTCATTTAAATTTTTTTGCCGGCAGCAAACTTCAATAAAGTTGAGACAGGGGCTGCTTCACCTCTTCTTCACACTCTGTTAGTGTTATTGAAAGCATGAGTTTCTATCATTTTGAAATAAAAAATATCTTCCTGTTCTTGCTTGAGGTAAAATTTGATTTGCTCAACAGTTTCTGGCCTTGTTTATTGTTTAGTCTTTTACTGTCCTCCAAATGTTTTCAGTGGGTAACAGGTCTGAGTGAGTGTACTGCAAATACAGACTGATGGGTTGCACGTCTTGCTTTTTTAAACCTGGCTATGTCACCATGGTAACCTATGCTGAACACATCAACTGGTCCAGAGCAGGTTACGTTCGGATTTCGGTTTAAATTTGTCTGAAAGTGCCACATTCACTAATTCTTTTCTCTAAATTTCTTTTTAACATTTAATCTGTTGAGAAGTACCTCACAAAATTAGACCAGCGCCAACTGTGCGTCACATGTATGGATGAGGAATGTGCATAAATATGATTTTCAGCTTGGTCCTAATCAGATGCCCAGTGTTGGAGTTGTAGCAAACACAACATGCGTTAGATTAAAAAAGAATCACTGTGTTTGTAGGCTGTTTATCACCAAGCTGATTTAGTCAATGAAATTCACTCCACACTCATCCGACAACTAAACCAAAGTGGTTTTCTCCATCATCGCGCTTTGGGCCAAGTCAGATTTAAAGTTTCTAACTTTGCAGCTGTCGTGTTAGAAATAAACAGCAGCACTGCAGTGAAAGCTTGAGTATTCACAATATTAGTTGCAGATTTATTTGCTGCACCAGTGGCATGTTTAACCTCTCATATTATTTATAAATTTCTATCTCTTCTTCTGGTGTAGGCAGCAATGAAATAAGTAGCTCTCAATGACAACATTTTGTGCAGAAGAAGACTTTAATGACGTGCCGTGTTTCCACTTTTCTGTGAGCGTGCACAGTCTTTGTCTGTCTTTGTCTTTCCAAGCTAACACAAAGAATGTCTGGCTATATTGAACTTCCTTTCAAGAGTGTTAGCAAGCCCGTTTAGCGCTCAGACTCAAATTATGGAGCATTGCTGCTGGTAAATGTGCAGAACAGACAAAGCCTTTACCTAAATCATCATGTGTTGCTCTGCAACCTGTAGATACCTTTCAGCATTAATGGTTCCTCTGGTTATGTCATTTGTTCTTTTGCATTTCAGCAATATTTCTTGAAAGACAAGTCCGACTTTGAAATTCACCAGTCCCACAGCACTGCAGGTCAAAGTTTAACAAAAGTGTCCTTTGCCCTTAAACAGGTGGAAACATTCCTGAACTTGGGAGTCGCATCATTTAAACTGAGTGAATGTTTACTGAGACTGGTGTAAGAGTGACCGGGCCCTAAGCCTTAATCCTGACCGTCAGTCCGAAGGTATGCAGGGCTTTTAAAGGTTGTGAGCCTCAGCCAATCACAGCGACAAGGCTGCAGCACAGTCACAGAAAAGCAGTGCTCAAGAGTCTCGTAGCGGCTCAGTAATGTGAGGATTAATTATTGTTAATTAAGACAAAGTTAATCTGTTTAACATTTTTCAACAACAATAAAATTCACATTGCTTCTCATAAAATAACATAAAAAGCTTTGAATAAAACTAAATGCAACATAAGACTGTGTAAAAGCACATTAGAAAGAAATTGGTTCAAGAATTAATTGGTTTTAATAAAAGGCAGTGGCAAACAAAAAGTCTTCAGTCTTAGTTTACCAGAACACAGAGTTACTCCTGCTTTATGTGAGTTTGTTCCAGACATGTGGAGCAAAAAGCCTGAAAGCTGCTGCTTCTATGTTTAGTTTTATCTCTGAGGACAGAAAGCAGACCTGTACTGGGAGACCTGAGGGGTCAATACGCAGCAGACCAGACATGTAAAACATGCTGGCTTATAAACCGTTCTGTGCTTTATAAACCAGCAGCAGCAGTCTTTTCAAACAAACATTGAACACATGTGCTGAGAAGAAGTGTTAATTGATTTAATTCAGATAAGGCGATCAAAATATGTTTGTTTGACAGGAAAAAAAGAAAGAAAGACATAAACAGATTATATTCAGAGTTCTAAAATGAAATAAGAATATAGATGAAGAGTAAAGCATCATCTCCGTCATGGGGGAGGCAGAGGGAGTGCGAGACATAAGAATAAAACTGCATTTCCTTTATCGTTTTTAGGTTTTCCACCAAAGAAAGAAGTATGTCGCAACAGGGGAAGTAGAAGCAGATGGTAAAAAAGGGGTACGGGACTCGTGAAAGTTCACGTCAGGTTAATGTGGCCGCAAAACAACAGTCTCTTTTCACAGAAAACGCGCTCACACTGACTGAAAAGCAGAGGCGCTTCATAAAATGCAAAGGTTCCAGTTTTCTATATGCGCAAATCTGTTTCTGTCAGAGGGCCACAACTTAAGATAAAGAAGTCAAGCTGGGCTTAGACGTACTTTATTTAGGTTTAGTTATAAGGTTGATAACTTGCTTTGTTACAGCAGATAAAACATTGACACAACCAGTAACAACATATAAAAATAGCTCAATAACAGACAGTAGTGCCAAAAAATAGAATTACTTTCAAGTACAATACAGTTGACTATAATCTAAAAGAAATTTATATAAGCTGCATCGCTCCAAAAAGTAAGTGGGCCCTTGGTCATCGGTGTAACACAAAGTCCGTTACACTTCAGGGCTATATTAGTGTGCAGTCAGGAACATAAACCACTGAATCAGTTTATGCTTCCTAACTGAAGTTTAACCGTTTTTTTTTTTTTTTTTGAGCAGTGTAAAATGGCTCAATAAAATATAATAAAAGTGTAAAATGGCTCAATAACACACAATAAAACAAAAATAAAGCGAAAATTCTAAAAATAGGATACTAAAGGTAGTAGAAGGAAAGGTATGAGGTTTAGTTTTACAGAGTTGAGTAAGTGTAATAGTTAAAAACAGAGTCTTGGGAATAAATTAATGTCAGTGCTGTCACAAAGCCAAAGCAAACGTGGTTTTATGTGTCTGTGTGCATAACAGAGCAGAACTTTCAGAGCATGTTCACACCTATAGTTCGTTTACTCTGGTCTGAATCAGTCGACGAGTTTGTAAACTTGTTGCTTTTCCTTGTGGTTTAGTTTGTTTTCACACAGAGAAAAATCCAAATGAACTCCAAGCGAACCGAAATGAGTCACGAACAAACCACATAAGAATATTCGGTCCGCTTATCGGCCAGATGTGTCTGGGGCGGGAACAACAAAAGTAAATACAGGAAGCAGGTGCCGTGTTCTGGACTATCAGGGAACACGGAGAATTTATGTTTGTTTCACAGCTAGCTGCCAGCCCGTACAGATCCTTGCACGTCTACCTTGCTGCATCTCTGGATACAAGACAAGCTTGCAACGTACCCATGGTAGTTGGTTCAGATCACGTTCACAGGATAAACAAACCGTTCTGAAGTTCGTGTGGAACCGTACCAAGACCCGAGGCGATCTCAGTACGGTTGTTTTGGTGTGCGATTGTTGTGTTCACATCTGCACAAACGAACCGCACCAAGAGGGAAAACAAACCAGTTTGATTTAAACTGATGAAACACAGCAGCTGTGAAAACAGCCTTAGACAAAAGATAAGAACCACTGATTCAAACAACCCCAAACTACACGTACTCGAGCAACAACTCGCTGGGTTTCAAGATGATCGAAGGGCAAATAACAGACAGAACGACATACAGAGATTTCATAATTTACTGGTGGTGTTTTAAACCACTTCCTGGCTTCGGTTTCTTTTCAGATCTTAGGGCAGCTTCACAATCATGTTACCTATCAGCTCACAGGCTCTGATTAACTGTTCGGCTCTCTGCCCTCGTCCTTTCAGCTGCTCTGGGTGCTGCTGGGTGCCACCATCGTCGGCCTGCTGCTGCAGAGGCTGGCGGCTCGGCTAGGCGTGGTCACCGGGATGCACCTGGCTGAAGTCTGCAACCGCCAGTACCACACTGTGAGATACGTTTGCCGTTATTGTCCTATTTTCCGTTGTTGTTGTTGTTGTTGCTGCTTCTGCGCTCTCTCTTCTCATCACCGTTCTAAAACACGAGCAGGATGAAGTCTGACTGAGAGGCTGTGAGCAGAAGCAGTCTTAGTTTACTGAAACTGCCTCCTTGCATTACAAGCACTGCTGTTACAGTAGCTGTAATCCTTGGATTATGCGTCTCAAAACATTAAATCAAACCAGCGTGAGCCGGTGACACTTACAAAACAGTGACAGCATGAATTATTCATGTGGATATATTTTTAAATCCAGCTTATAAGAAATATTTGCATCTGTAAAACATGAAGAGAGAAAATAACTGTTACAAATGTGCCTCTGTTTGCTCTCTTTCTGTCCTCTCAGGCTACACTGCCCACTGTTGGAAACATTTTTTAAGCTTCAGTAGGGAAACGTATGCAGAGCTGCATGAATGAATTGACTTCTTATCTTTGAATCTGTTAACTTTTCTGAGTTTACAGGACTAGTGACACAGTTGAAAATGCAAATGCTTTGACTGCCGGCTTGGTTTATTAATTGATTTATCGAATGATGAAAAGCTGAAAAGAAGTCCCGGAAAATTAATTTGTGCCTATAAGTCAAAGGTAAATTAAGGCTGTGTCCTCAAGCAGGAATGCATGAACACCTTCTGCCATCGTAAATTCACTTTATATGTTCTTGAAAAGGTTTAAGGCGCAACCTGTCCCAGATGGGATGGGAGAAGAGCGGGCAGAGAAGGCTTCTGTCCTACATCAAAGTCCTTGAATTGTGGTGTGACTGTGTATGATTGTTGCACCTCCACGTTGACATGCCTTAAACCAATAATTCTCATTGTGCAGCTTCAGCTTTTCTGTCCTCTGTTCCTCACACCTCGCTCACATTTTTGCAGAGAAGAGCTTAGACATAAAACTAGGCCTTCATTTATCCACGTGAGCAGCGTGACGGCAATGACCAACTGAAGCAGCAGAGGGCGAAATGTCCTGACTTTTATTGTCAGGAGATTGCTGGATACTAATTCAATAAAAGTCCAGTAAATACGGCACCATTCATGCTGTTTAGTGCTTTACAGGTGATGGACAAGCTGATAAGACAGCTGAATTCCCAAACACTGTAAGAAGCAGTAGTTGTGCCACAGAGTAAAAATCTCCAACAATAAAAGGTTTCCTCACATGCCGGATGTGTTGCAAACTGAATTCTATGTCAGCTCAGACCTTTGTAAACACTGCCTGACTCTGATAGGTGCCTCGTATCATCCTGTGGGTGATGGTGGAGCTGGCGATCATCGGCTCAGACATGCAGGAGGTCATCGGCTGCGCCATCGCTTTCAACCTCCTCTCCTCTGGCAGGTGGTGTAAACAGACTAAGCATCAGTTTAACGGCCACTGGGACTCAGTCGCAGTTTGACGATTGCCATAAAATGAGTCGATTACTTCCTTGGCGATGATCTTTTCCGTTGTTTGTGTTTATCCACAGGATCCCCTTATGGGGGGGTGTCCTCATCACCATCACTGACACGTTTGTCTTCCTCTTCTTGGACAAGTACGGTAGGTTGGATCAATCACTTTCAAACTGTACGTCGGCATGTCAGCAATAAATGAAGCACGCCGCTTATTTTTTGTCTCTGCAGGTCTGAGAAAGCTGGAAGCCTTTTTTGGTTTCCTCATTACAATCATGGGGATCACATTTGGATATGAGGTATAAACACTTACACACGATTATCTGGAAATGAGTTGGGGGGGTCTCTCAATCAGCGGGTCACAACATGTCAGTGGGGGAAAGTAAGCAAAATATTTTTAATACTACCTGGAAGTCCCTGGATCCAAAATGATGTCCAAATCTCAACCGGATATTTTTTTTAAGAATATCAAGACAATAGACCTCATTCAATAATATGTGTTCAGAAATGTTCTTACCCCTGTGCAATCACACTCATTCTCAACTTGTGCCCACTGTGTGAAATCTGCTTATTGCCACTCCTCCATTTCTCTGTATAAATAAACACACTAACTTGAGATGAAACTAAGAAAGTTGAAGTTGAGTGACCTTAAATCTACCCTCACTTCTGATTACAAGCTCTGGGTAGTGACTGAGAGAATGAGATGGTACAAGTGGTGGAAATGAGCTTTCTCCAAAGGGTGGTGGAGAGAGGGAAATCAGTCAGACTGAGAGTAGAGCCACTGCTGCCAACATCGAAAGGAGCCAGCTGAGGTGTTCCACACGTCCTTCCAGTAGGAGGTAGGAGGAAAGGCTCAGGACATGCGAGAGCGATTATGTCTCTCAGCTGGCTGGGAATGCCTCACTGTTCCCCTGGATGAGCTGGAGGACGTCCAGGCTTCTCTAGAAGAGGAATTGATGGATGGACTTTCGGCTTCCATCGATTATTAAAACAAGAAAATAGAGATATTTATCAAAATGATCATGATTATGATGTTTTGGCATAATCAGTAAGTCATAGTGGGAAATATTGTTTTGGTCAAATGTCACAACATCCCTGACACCTCGACAAGATGACAGACTCCAGGAAATACAGAGAAAGGCAGTAATCCCGTAGACAAGACAGAGGAACGGAAAGACAGGGAAACACTGGGAATACTGGGAACAGAAGAACTCAACAAAAGAGGAACCAAAGTTATATAAATACAAAAAAAACCCCCACAACACATGAGCTTCAGGTTGTTAAGACTTCACTGAAAACCACAAATGTCGCATTGAAATCTTTTGATCACCGTGTTAAGATTTTTCCTCTAAACATCACATGAATGTTTGTACCAAGCTTGAAATGTGCCACCCAACACTCACTCTGAACTCTGGTGGTGCAAAATCACCAAGTGTCTCTGGTCTCTTCAGGTTCGTCCTAATTTACATCTTCTAAATGTTTTGCTTTTGAAATCACTCTTTGCTTCCTTTTCAGTATGTAACAGTGGGTCCAGACCAAGGCCAGCTGCTGAAGGGGATGTTTGTGCCGTACTGCGAGGGCTGCGGACCCGTCCAGCTGACTCAGGCCGTCGGCATCGTGGGCGCCGTCATCATGCCTCACAACATTTACCTCCACTCTGCTCTCGTCAAGGTCAGACAGTAATGAAATCCCTGCTTAATCAGCTGTGTGAAACCTGCATTGGCATCGTCAGTGAGTTTCTAAATCTTCTCTCTCAGTCTCGAGAAGTAGATCGGTCAAACAAAAAAGAGGTAAAAGAGGCCAACAAATACTTCTTCATCGAGTCGACCGTCGCACTGTTTGTCTCTTTCCTCATCAATGTGTTTGTGGTGGCCGTCTTTGCTGAGGCTTTCTATCAGCGCACAAATGAAGAGGTGGTAAGTATCTCTGCAGCTGCTTTATGATCTAATAAAAGTTCAGAGTCGAGATGGAAATTCAGCAGTCTGTTTTGCTTTCCTCCCTCCCCCCGTTTTCTTTTTTCAGTTCAATGTCTGTAATCAAACAGGCAGTCCGCATTTAGACCTGTTCCCTCTGAATAATGAAACTCTCAAGGTGGACATCTACAAAGGGGTAAGCTTTTATGTATGGGCTCCAAATGTGGTCATAAATATTTTGTACTTGTAAATCAGTTTTGTGTGTGTGGACCCCTGCAAGTTACAAGTACGAATTTTGACCCTATTTTTCTTCCTTTCATCTGATTGGTCAATGTCATGTCAATCACAAATGTAACAATCCAATCAGAGAACAGATGGGTTTGGCTGTTGGAGGGGCGCTTTTTTTTGAAACATGATAAGAAAAGTCTGTGACCATTTAAATGCATAACAAAACAAATATGTTTACAAATAAACAGGTAAAGATACTGTTGAATGCACGCCTCTCAGCATATTTGCTCATACCACATGTTTAAATTGAGTGCGATTATAAAGTAATAAGACTCAAACTACATTGGTCCCTTGTTTATAGTGGTAGTTACGTTCTAAAAATAATCTGTGTGAAATCCGCAAAGTGGCTAACCTGATTTTTTTTTTTACAATTATTATAGCTGTTTTAAGGCTGTAAAGCCCCTCACTACACACTTTATACACTTTTCTCTGACAGGCTCGAACATTTCCACACTTTTCTCTGGTTTAAACACTCTAAAAGTTCAAACCTTCGTAGAAAAATAAGTCCAGTATTATAGAATGCAACAAGTCACCGCGGTTGCCTTTGATGGTGCAAAACATTTCATCGAAATTTTTGTTTGTTGCAGAAAACTTACAAACATACAGTACCTCACTTCAGAGTCACATTGGTAGTGATCGAAGATTTAGGTAAATTTGACAGGGTGAACCAATGACTGTATAAAACATGGACGACGCGACAGCTCCCCAAGAATGAAGCCAAAACGTCTCTATCGCCCCCTGGTGTCTGGCTGCAGTATAGGTCATAAACCCCGCCTCCTCCATGTTAGCGGATAGGACCATTGACAGTCATTGAGGTGAATCAGAAATACTTTATTAATCCAGAAGGAAATGGTCTACAGCCAATCAGAATACAGAACACAATGTGCTGTTTAAAAAAAAAAAAAAACATGCAAAATTGCACAAAAAAGATCTACAAAACAGCGAGACCACGAAAGGTGAACCGCGTTATAGCGAAGGACCACTGTATACCAAAACTTGACCTAATTTAAAGATTTTTAAGGTCATCTCCTTGTGCATGTCTGAAATGCTATTTTTTTTATGCTTCTTCAAATTCCCGTTGAGATCAGTGATGAACAACAGCTAAAAACGAAGTCTGTGCAAAGATGTGAATTGATGCAAATTCAGACCAGGTGACACATTTAGAGGCAAACGCGTGTCTGCAAGCTTTGATCCACACAAAATGAGAACTTTGTTTTTTCCTTCAGAGCTGGCATCAATTAAAAAAGGCTGCTGGAATGCACTTTAAGATTTTGGCCCATATTCACATGGTAGTGTTACACAGTTGATGCAAATCGTCCGTTTAACCTCATCTATTCGATTGACATCTACCATCCGAATGTTGCAGCAGAAATAAAGAACACTTTTCTCCTATTGCCCAGTTTTGCTGAGCCTCTGTGTATTGGAGCCTGTTGCCTGCTCTTAGCAGACAGGAGTGGCAGTGGTGTGGTCTTTTGCATTCAGAGATGCTCTTCTGCATGCTTTGGTTGGATTTTTCCCCCGAGAACAGCTGCTCCCTAGATATTTTTCTCTTTTTCGGGCCACTTTCTGTAAACACTAGACATGGTTGTTAATTATTTAAATCACAACGTGTTTAGCAGCAAGTTCTCTTTACCGTTCCTGAATGTATTGATCTGCTAACATTTAATTAACTCATTAGAGCTTTGCCTTAATAAGCAGGTGAACTGGTGTATCTAATGAAGTGACCGTATGTAGTGGAATTACAAGAAAAGGAGTGAACGAACTTAAGGGAAAATATTTGTGGCTTTTTTCAGAAACTGTGTGGACACATTAGGTCTGAGCATACTTATACTTGCATATGCATGTGTGATTTCACCACAGAGCTTTAAATTGCACAAAGAGCTATCATCAGCTTCTGCGTCAAATTGACTCAGAGCGCTTGCTGGGGATCATCACTGATCTCCAGCTACGGCCCAGAAAACGAATAGAAAAGCTCGGGTTTATTTCTTATTTTTAAATTTAAAGGCTCATTCATGCATGTGTTGCTACATCAGATTATCTATCCAACCAATCACTCGTTTTATTTGCTGATTATCCAGCTAAGGTCGGTCCATCACATTCTATTGCCATATATTATGTCGTTTTCCACACTGTTATGAAATATTCCTGTAATAAATCAAAGACACCCATCAGTACAGCTCATTGGGCTACACTGTAGGGAATAAAGGATTCCTACGCTGTAATTAAAAGCAGAAGTTCTCCGTGAATTCACAGAAATTGTTGTTTTTTTTCACTATTTTAAAAAAAGTGGTGTGTTTGACGCCCCTGCTTGCGAACAGAACTCGGGGTGTTTGTAGCCTCCGTGTAGTTTATTCAGTAAAACTTAAAAGCACACAAACAGGTCAAATTTGCAGCACATAATGACAGGATTGTGTTTTATATAATATTTCTGAGATCATCTGGATTCAAGCCCTGCAGGAAACGGTGACAATGACATTAACATGCATTTATTCTTAACTCCCTCTCTGGTTTTAGTGGCAGCAAAGTGGGCCTGCGCTGGTTTTGCAGAGCATGTTTTCTGTTTTTTTATCCACTGTCGTCTGTGTTTGCGTGTCTGTAACAGGGAGTGGTGCTCGGCTGTTTCTTTGGCCCAGCTGCTCTCTACATATGGGCCGTGGGGATCCTTGCAGCTGGTCAGAGCTCCACCATGACTGGAACATACTCCGGCCAGTTTGTCATGGAGGTCAGTGAGAAAGGAAGAACCAGATGTGAACAAAAACCACATGTAAAGCTCAAACAGTGGAAATGTCAGCACTAACTCTTTCCCTTTAACGCAGATATGTTCTCCCATTCTTTCTTTACTTGAGCCCTTTATTTGGCCTGTTCAAAAGCTCCTGCGTGTAATTTACTTATTTACTTATAATCACGTACAGCTGCAGTCGGTTTGCTTCACTAAATCTTTTGTAAACAAGCCCCGTTTTCTTGTAAATGTCACCGACTGATTTGTTCTTCTTCCCTCAGGGCTTCTTAAACTTGCGCTGGTCACGTTTCGCTCGGGTGTTGCTGACCCGCACGCTTGCCATCATGCCCACCCTGCTCGTGGCCATCTTCCAGGACGTGCAGCACCTGACGGGCATGAATGACTTCCTGAACGTGCTGCAGAGCATGCAGGTCAGACAGAGGTTAAAACCAGTTCAGCTTCATTCAACCATCCGCCAACAGCACCACTTTTCTTTTAGGCTTATTTATCTTTGTAGTGCTGTTCTTATTAAGTGCATTAAGGTCATTAACATAACTTAAATGCACAAGCAAGCAGGACTGGTTTTCAGGTTTTGGATCAAGTTCTAGGTTGGTAAAATCAAAACAGGCTGTACTCTTATCATTAAATGATAAGATAAGACTGTCTAAGTGGCAATAAGAATGCCTCGTTGGAAAAAAGAAACAGGGTTGACCCAGTTGCTTCAGATGTAATCCTGCAGTATGAAAGAATTTATTGTCTGTAGTGAATAAAATGTTGCCAGACTGGGTCCAGTTGCTTCAGAAATATTGAATACACAGCACGAATGAGTTGCAAAGCATCTTTGTTACTTAATTTGTGTGTAATTAATGTTCCTGCATACTTAATATACACTGATTCACAGTCCCCAAGGAAAGCAGGCAAACCTTAGGTCCAGGCATTCATGTGGATATTACTTTGATACATAATAACTACTTTATTTTCTTTAAATAAAGTAGTTATTTTCTATTTCAGCTCTGTATAATTATCCCCAGAGGCTACTACAGTAGCTTTAAGCAGCTTAAGCATCTCTCCCTTTAAGCTGACTTCTTCTGATTGGCTGCACCACACAAACAAAAGGTTTGAGCGGTAGATGGACGAGTTTCTGTATTCCTGAGATGACCATGTTAGGGATATTCGCTCCCAGATACGTCATACTGTTCCAAGACAAAAATCCTGTCTGAAACAGTTTATGCCTAATTCTGTGGAGAATCTTTGTAGAGCCTAGGATGTAACTTATGTAAGGGCCCAGTGTCATTGCCCACATGTATGCTTCTCTAGTGTGGTGCATATGTGTTAATCACAGTGCCTGTCCCGAAAGTCCTCATATATTATATTGATGCTATGATTATTATTCCTTATACTGAGGCGGTTATTGTTATTCTCTCGCTGATAAATTCAAATACAGCAGTGAAAATGTTGCAGGTGTTAATCACCATTATAAGTCAGGTTTACTCATCGTGGTTTGTGCTGCTCAGTGTGTGAAAACAGTTAAATATGATCATTAATCTTTATTGCTTAAAAACAGCAATATATCATCTGGACGTTTTCAGTGGGAGAAACATTTTATCACTCCCACTGAAATTGCTCCATCCAGATGAATCGGCTTTCTGGGATTTCCTTACCTGGATGAGTGAGCGTGCATTAGGACAGATGCATGCTCGGATAAGCTAAGCAAGACAAAAATTACAGGGGAAAAATTCAGCTGTACCACTGTCTGCATAGTGGGATTGGTCATGTGTAGAACTACATCTTAAAACTGATAAATGAACATAAAAGAGCTTAAAGGCATTAAGCCTCTTCATTTGAAATCACTGTGCATCACTGCAGATTAATTTATACATGAGGTTTCTTGAAGGTGTTGACTGCAGCAGCGACAAACACTGCAGCTATGCATCATTGTAGTCTATCATTATAACAGCAGGTGTCCTGCAAACAGGTGTAAAGAAGCATTTTCACTCTTTCCATAACTAGGAAGGGAAAATGTTTGCTTGTGCGTACATCGTACCACATTGTGTATAAATACCTTCATCATGTCTCATTTGATCTGTAATAACATGTCTACTAATATGTTTTTGGGGGAAGTTTTCATAACATGAGGAACAAAAACCTGAAGACTTCCTCAGGGTTTTTTCTCAGGGCGAGGTGTTAGCTAAAAACCAGAGTTACAGAGTGGTGTTGTGGATTGTAAAGGCAGTGGGCATGGAGGTTTTAATGGAAAAACACGAGCTGCATCTGGGAAATGTGGGATCAATCCTTTTTGGGGGACTTTAATTTACTCCTCAGTTTCCCTCAACTTTACAAGCACCTAGAATCAAACGAACACCACATCCCTTTGAAAAGATAAGTTTGGACACTTATTCCTTAGAGACATCAACACTGAACACATCAAAACCGTGCCATAGTTATTGATATGGAAATATTTGTTGGCTGTCAAACAAACTCAGCTGGGTTTTGGTCAGATTGCTGCAGAGGTCAGGTCACTCCATCACTCTATTTCTTGGTCAAGCAGCTCTTACGGTGCTGCTGGAAAAACAAATTATGGCCCCACTGAGCATGAACCACATGGGATGGCGTGTCGCTGTGGGATGTTGTGGTAGCCATGCTGTTCAAGTGTTGCCTTGAATTCTCAATAAATCACCAACCGTGTCTCATGCTTCACAGTGGGAACCACACATGCAGATAACATCCGTTCACCTTGACTGTGCCTCACAAAGACACAGAGCTCACATCTGGATTCATCCAGATGTCTAATATTTGTTCCTCCAAGTTTTCTTCTTCTTCTTGGTCTTCTGAAGTCTTGGTTTCTTTGCAGCATTTCTATCATGAAGGAATCATCAGTGCTCTGATGTGAGCTGTAGTCTGAATTATTGATTTCCAGTGCTCAAACTTCCAAACTTAACAAGAGAATTTCTAGATTTTTTTTAAGCATTGCTTAAAAAACTGTTGTTTGTTTTTAACCAAAAACATTTACAACCTCATGAAGCTGAATGTAATGATAAAGTTAAATAAATCCAGTTGAGCCATTTAAGACCACTAAAATCAACAGTTTTGCTCTGCATTGCACAAAATAATGAAAAACCTTTTAAATAAGTAGGGTTTCTAAAAATGTTAACAGTAATACTTAGTGTATGTAGTATTTGAATGTAGTAATACTACATTCAGTATGATTATTACAGCTTTAGTTAGTTATTTGCTGTTAACTAACAAATAGTTGATAACTAGTAATATCTCCAGAATTTATGTAAACCTTTCACCACCAGGGGGCAGCAGTTTAGCGGGAAATGTTTTTTAGATGCTTCCTTCCGTTTGAAGTCACTCATATAAAGCCAGGAACACCTCCACCTCGCTGTTCCTCCTGTGCATGCGAAGCATTGTAGGAGAGTCACCCCCGTGTAAACCACACCTGCTTAAAACCACAAGTTCCTTTCCTAAAGCTAACATAACTGTCTCCTTGGAAGCGGCCTCACTGTGTGGAGTTTACTTGCTTTCTCCAGGTATTACAGCGTCCTCACACAGTCCAAAGACATGCATGGGGTTGAGTTCATTGATATAATTCTAAATTTATTTGTGTGATAATTCTAAATTTATTTATTTATTTTATTTCTGTGTCAGCCCCTGCAGCAGAAATAAATAAATAAGAAGATCTTTGTAAAACTCAAAATACACAATTATTTAAAAGGTACATCAAGATTACATTCATTTGCAGCACCATCTTGTGATACAGACTGGTATTACATCAAAGACCAGCTCTAATTCATCTTCAGTAGATATCACTTCAACACAATACATTTGAGATGTGTTTGTTTTTTCACATGCTCCAGTGTTTGGTGTATGGTAATGTGTAATGTGAAGCCTAAAATAACCAGGCCAAAGCCAATCAAGTAAATAACACGGTGCTATGTGAATGGACTGAGTGCAAAGACTGAGACTTAAATGCTGCCAGTTTCACTGATTAGCTCTGCCAACAAGGAGCCTGCCAGACAACACAGAGGGACAAACAAAGGAAAACATCTGCCAGTGAACTCCAACACTTCAAGCGCCCATAAAAACAGGAAAGCAGCTAAATAAGTATCAGAATAGTAAAATGTATCCTTTTTTCACTGATTTGAACTTCCTCATTTCATTACCTGAGTATTCTACCTAAACTTTACTACAAGTACAAGCAGACATAGAGGTAGCTAAAAAGAAAAAAAATTACAAAATCACTCCAGATGTGCCAAAAGACTTCCCTCTGCACCTCCCAGTGGACGAAGAGGTTAACAGTTGGTGTGATCATTTAGTGTAACACATCATCTTCTTCTTCTTCTCTCCCAGCTGCCATTTGCCCTCATTCCCATCCTCACGTTTACCAGTTTGCCATCTCTCATGAACGAGTTTGCCAATGGACTGTAAGTAAATCAAATCAAACCTGCTTGTTTTTATTATAACCCTGTTCTTTAAACAAAGCAAAATACAAATCATATTATAAATGCGTATATATATTTAAATATATATTTAAATGCAAAGTGATGACACTGAAAAATTGTGGGGTTTTTGTTTGTTTGTTTTTTTTAAATAAAAGCTTCTTTTGAATTTGATACCAGCAACACCCTTAAATGGGAGCAACAAAAAACTGGAAAAAATGAGTAAAAAAACGTGATGCATCATCTGAGAGCAAATGCAGTTAATTAGTAACATAAGTATAAAATTACACAGAGAGTACCCCAGAGAGGAGGACTTTAGAAGCAAAAATGAGAAGGGGTTCAACACTGTGAGAGATTACAAGGGCAATTTGTTTAATAATTTGGAAATAATTTTCTTCAACATCAAATTGAAAAGAAATAGAGGAATTCATCATCTCAGAGAAATCTCTGTATACAAGGCAAAAGTTTAAAAGAGCTGCGATGCTGCAGTTAAAATCTCTGCATGGGCTCAGGAACACTTGGGAAACCCTCAGTGGTGCATCCACAAATATAAAGTTAAATATCCACCATGCAGACAGATCTAAACGCCATCAAGAAACGCCTGTTCAGGGCTCATTTAAGAGGCACTGTGGCCAAGTGGAGAGCCTGACCATCCTATGTCAAAGTTGGTATCTGTGCATGGATAATTTGCATATCTTTAAAGGCACCATCAGTGCTTAATGATGTGCGTGGGTTTTGGAGCAACATAAGCTGCCCTGCAGACTTTAGCAAGTCTTTGCCAAACCATGTTCTGCACGGTTCCAGACATGCCAAGCACGAGGACATAACAAATATGACAAAGGAAGTGCTGAGCAGCTGAAATTTTATACCAGGCACGAATCTGAAAATATTTTGCTTTCAAATATAAAGCAGAAAGTCTCCTTAGTTTCCAAACTGAGATGAAACAAGAGTAAAACCTTACCATTGTCCCGACTTTTTTTTTTTTTCCCCAACTGGGGCATCGGTTTTTCAAAAATCCATAACATCTATTATTTTCATCAGCTGATGTGTTGTTTATGTGCCTTTTTAGCGTTAACACATCATCTGAACTTTTATTGGAGCGTGCCTCCCTTTAAACTTCACCCGTTCTTATCTTTCTGCAGAGTATTTAAGATAGGAGGCGGAGTGGTGATCTTGATCGTGTGTGCCATCAACATGTACTTCGTCGTAGTCTACGTGAGCATGCTGGGCAGCGTGTGGCTGTACGTGCTGTCGGCTTTCCTGTCCATAGCATACCTGGTGTTTGTGGGATACTTGGTAGGTAACAGCAGGTTGTATGGGAGCTGTCCTTGGCAGGGTTTAACTTTGTTTTACTGAGTGAACATTAACTTCTTGGGCATTTAATAGTCAAAGCGTGTTTTCACAAATCTTCAGAGAATTATCTCTGAGCTCCCAACTTAGCCTAAAATTATTAAAAAGGAATTCCAGCTTCAGAGTGATTTTGGAGCAACTCTGAACAAAAAAGGGACCAAAACTTTTACGTCAGTGAGGAGGTGTGGCTGTGGGTTTAATGGACCTTTTACTTTTTACATGCCAGAGCCCATCGATGACACGCATATAAAGGCACAATGCAATTTCTGCAGTTAAGCATTGTTATTACAGTGGCATGTTTAAACTGAGTTCAATTGGTTAACTAACCAGCCAATCAAAATGTTGATCATCAGCGAGATACATGAGAATTGCTCTTTGGGTCCATCTTTCACTTTTTTCCATCAGCAACTGTACAAAATATAGGAAAAGAAACACTCAAAGGCAGCTACGATAACCTTTAATTAGTAATGTCCTCTTGTATAAATGAACACTATGAATCAATCACCACATCTTAACCCTGTAACACTGTGTCGTATTTTTAATTTTTGTGTCAATAAATTGCACAAAAATGCCAGATATTGTCCTCTTGCATACACGGTGGGGATAGCAGCACAGAACAGAGCAAGATCAGTGACAACAGATTTGAGGTTGTTTAAGTCAGGAAAGTCAAATCAAAGAATTGGAGTGGAGGTGTGTTGTAAAGTGATGTGCCGATACAGGCCAGAGCTACAGCATGACCAGGTGGATGCAAGGATTTCAGCTGACGAGATTTGGAGTTTGGGGCGGAAATACCACAAATTTACTGCTTCTAGCCTCGTGGCCGTCAGTGTTCGCTGTTTTTTTTTTTTAACACAAAAAAGGATTTTAAGATGTTAGTTATCATACTAAGCTTTTTAGACCATTAAAAAGTGATTGTCTGACTAAGTTGTCGGTGTGTATCGCTCTTGTATGTTTGGGTAATTTTGCTCCTTTTGCATTGCATTCTCTAATTTAAAGTTATGCAGCCACTTTGAGAAGTATTCAGGTCCCTTCACTTTATTAACACTTCTTTTGTTTCGAGTTTTAAAGCCTATAATAAACAAAATAAAAATATTTTATTTTTTTGAATGTTAGAAAGTCTCCGCTCCACTGAGCAGTACATAAACAGCACTGTTTAGCCAGGACTTTGCAGAAGCAGCTGCAGCTTTAAATCTTTTTGCGAGAGTGTCTGCAGGATTTGGACACCTGGATTTGGGCAGTTTTCTTTCCAGCAGATCCTCTTGAACTTTTCAAGGCTGGATGGGAAAGCATCTCTGGACTGCCATCTTCATCTCCGCAGATGTTCTGTGAGGTTTAAATCTGGTCTTTGGCTAGTCCACTCAAGGACAGTCTTAGACATGTCCTGAAGGCTCTCCGGCGGGTCTGAATGCTTTCTCAAGTGATGCATAACTTGAACAAATTCATTCTGTAAACCTTTTTTTTTTTTTCTTTTTGGCCTGTGTGTGTGTGCTTTTTTTCTTTCTTTTTTTTTATTCTGTCTTTTTTTGTGCTGCAGGTGTGGTTATGTCTGATCGCTCTGGGGGTGTCCTGGCTCGATCCGAGCACCAGGAGAGGGAACGACACGACCATCCTGATCCAGCGGCAGCCTGAGTTTGACTCATGACATTCGCGTCAAAGGTGCATCTGTGGACAACCTGACTGACTGTGTTTAGCTCCAGATGAAGTCTTATTTAGTCCCAAGTTATTTATACGAGATGTTTGTTGGCTTTCAGATGAACTTTGACGTTTGGTTGGTGCTGTACAGATTTTTTTTTTTAGTAATGAAGAAACAAATTTATTTGTCACTGTAACTTTATTAAAAGGTAACATGCTGATTGTGAAAAGCTTAGGTGAATTTTAAAGATTGACAGGTTTACAGACGTCTGATGTTTATAATCATTTTTTGAAGGACTTAATATGACAGAAAACATGTCAGGACTTTTTTAAGAAACCAAACAGACTGAATCCCTGTGAAGAAGATTTACAAATGATACCCAGGCTTTTAAAATCAGTGGTTTCATGTTCAGGAGGGAGTTTTAAAGTTTTAAAGACAAATTCATGTCTTGAAAAATGCCTTTCAACAACAAGGCAGTGACGTGCTGGATTTCAGCAGACATATTTTATTTTTACAGCTCACTATCACACATTTGCTCAAGAAGCTTCAGAATCTCAGCAGCATACGGAATCTTCTGACATGCAGCAGAGATAAGGAGAAACTTCCCCAAATACAGGAAGTCGCTAAAAAAAAAGAGGTCAGGAAGAGCCGCTGAGGAAGGATCCAGGATGTTATGCTCAGAAAAGCAACAGTGCAGACTTCCAATGTGAACAACTGAGATGACAAAATTAGACCTTAAACGTCTGAAGAAACTGAATTTATCGGAGAGGTGTTAAGACGTGATGAAAAAAAGAAATATAAAAATAAATGAAGTAACAAAATCAGCTAAAATTGCACTAATATAATTAAACAGGAGAATAACGTGTAAGTTATTAATAAACAGACTCAATTTTTGTTCTTAAATGGCGCTAGAAGTGTGCAAAAACAAAGTTTTCTGGAAGTTCATTTACAAACGCTAAAGACCGCTTCAATCCAAGAAATACAGTAAACAAACATTTTTTGGTTTGGTTACATTTTTTTGTATTTTGAGCTAATTGAATTCAAACTGCAGTTTCTCGTTCAGCCACAGGGAGGTGTTGCAGGCTTCAGGAGAGACTTCTCATTTACAGTAAACATTTCACTACCACAGCTTACAGCATAACACATTAAAGGACATGCAGGCTTACATCATGCCCATGTGCAGTCACCAAAAGCAGCGTTACTGTGTGAGACTAAATGAATGCTGAGCGCTGAGACTCGCTGCTGCTGCTGCTGCTGCTGCTGCTGCACATGCCTGTGGTGGTATGTCAGAAGAGTTGCAACTTATTGTGCAACTGAGAGCCAAACACTGCTTGTTTCACTGTTTGAATTCCAGTGCTGAAGTGCTTCGGCTTTGCGAGCTGAGCTGAGGCGGATGAACAGGTTTTTCTTTGCATTGTGGCGGGGAACTTTTTTTTTTTCCCTCTCTTTCTCTCTCTCTCTCTCTCCCTGTCATGGAGGCAGACTTATGTAAGAGGGGAGAGTCTTCCCACCGCCCCTCTCTGTTTTTGTTTTTCTCAATGAGCCAATGTCTCCCTGCCTAGGCCTCACAGCCTGTCCAGTAGGCCCCTTTCCTGGAAACATAGCCTAGCAGAGGCCACTCAGGGGCAGGCCTGTGAGGTGGGAGGGTGGGGTGGGGGGGCTCTTCCAGCAAATCACATGATTTGACCCTACAGTCATAGCTCTACATGAGGCTCAGATGCTGCAAGCACATTTCAGCAGCCAGTTTGTCATCAGCATGATTGGATGCGGCTTTAATGCATGGCAGAGTGCATGAGGCTGTAAGTAGACTCCGTGCATCCCCAGGTGTGACATTTTTGAAGTAGAAACACAACATCTAAAGGACAGTGTGTGTGTGTGTGTGTGTGTGTGTGTGTGTGTGTGTGTTCTTTAAAGACAGTTATGTCATTTATTTTTATGTTGTTGGCCTTAATGCCAAAATAAACTTGATGAACAGTTTTGCAGAGATTAAAAAAATATATTTTAGTATTTGATTATGCTCACCATGATATTTAAAAATGTAATATTGATAGAGTGTCAATAATGCACATGTGATAATAATTGTTTTTTTTGTGTGCCATTTCCACAGCGATGGTTACAGACTCTCCTTTTGTAGTCTTTGCACTTATTTTAAGTTGAAGTTATTTGCCATAGATTAACATTGTAGCTATTTTTCTCTCTGTATATATTGCAATAATATTGATTCAGTCTGACAATAATTGTTAATTGAAAATCCATTATTGTGACAGCCCTACTTGATGGAAATTCAGTGATGTGTTTCATCCAATCTAAAGCTGATGCATCGAGCTTCTTTATTGTGTGTTTGTCTTTTATATTTCCAGTTACGTTGCTGTTAGAGCAGTGGTTCTCATTCTCAAAGTGGGGTCTGGGTTCGTAGCCATGAAGCAGTCTTTGCCTTCCCAGTAGATACATCTCTGGTGTTAAACCAAAATCATTCAGTTCTAATGCTGAAAACCTGCATTTAAAAATGATCAAACTTACACAAAACTTCAGTTTCATCAATTTATCTCGACTGTTTTGGCCAATATTAGAACACAGTTGATGTTACTAAAATAATCATTTGCTTTGAATTAGTTAATTGACCTCCATTATATAATAAAGAACACAAAGATGTGAACATTTACACCATCCAAACAAATATCTTGTGCCCTTTACTCCCACTCATTTCAAATATGAGCCAGCAGAAGCTCTGATATGTTGTGACACATTATGCCACGTGTCTGACGTAGAAAGGCTAAAAATAATTCCCACGTAGTAATTTAAATACTAGCAGGATTAAAAGGGGGTTCTGGGAAATGTTTCCAAGAACGCCCTGGTCCCCGGCCCCCAAAAGGTTGAGAACCAGTGTGTTAGAGGTTAAAAAGTCACTGATTGATTTTTTTGTTTTTGGACAAATCTTTTGATTACCCTCGTTATGGTAGAAAGCACCGTAGTGTTTTTATCACTGTGGCTCACCAGAACTCGCTGTTTTAATGAGTTTCAATTATTAAAATCATTAACTGTGTTATTGAATTGTAAACAAAAAGCTCCACACTGGGGGGGGGGGTAGAAAATGCAATAAACACTAACATGGCTTCACATGTTGACTTTAAAAAAATGCACGGGTGCACTTATTGCTCTTAAGTGGTTGCGCTTTGGTCCCGTTAGAGCACTGGAAGATTGGTGGAGGGTTACGCCTGCAGCACCCCCTCAACCCTTAGCCCTTTTAACAGCTGCTGACCCCGCTGCTCTTTTGCTGTCTTGGAGAGGAATACCAGAAGATGAGGGCAGCAGAACGCAGGCACTGATAATGAATTTCAAGTTGATTTAGTAAACAGTGGCATCAGCTTTAAACCACATGACATTTTCCAGCTGTGCGGCCCGTACTTGTTTTGTATATATTTTTACACCGAGCTGTCAGTGCTGCCTTAAAATGTCCCACACCAGGAATGCAAACAGCGGGGCCATTCTTGTTTATGTCTTGCATTGTGGCCGCTGTGGGCACTGGCTGAGCTCGTGGTATAATGGGCCCACATGTGTTTGGAATGGACCGTCTCAGCTGTGTAGTTATTCCTTTTATTAACAAGCTGCTTCTCCGTTTCTTCCTACAGGTTTACGGTCTGTGCCGCTTTCAGTGTGCTTTACATGTGTGTTTCGTGTGGTTAAATATAGCAGATATGTGCTGTTGCTTAATTTCACACCATATTTGCTTACTGTATGCTGCAGGGGAGAGGATCACTTTGATTTACTCAGAGGTCTTTGAGCTTTCAGAGGATGAGGAGGAGGCACTCTGCAGAACCTCCACACTGTAAATATAAATATCTGGGGACCCGATGGTTGACCACATTGCCTAACATCATGTCAAACCCACTTCTGTTTATTTGAGCAAGGTCAAACAAATGTGTTGTAGTTCCAGCTGCTCAGAAAATCGCTATACTCGGTGTAGTGAAAATGATTATATAACACACAGGATTTGTCTGCAGTTCAATGCAACTTATTCAAATGAAAAACAACTACAACCACAACTGTTTGTGATTTTTTTTTTTTTCCCCTCCCTCCCGGATGAATAAGTGGATGTAAAGACAGATAGCTTTATTAAATGCCACGCTGCACGACTCTATTCCTATATGATGCAACCATCCTGCAATGTTTATGAGCAGCAGCCTCATGCTAAAGTACAGTAACTGCAGTACAGACTGAGTGCGTTATTGCGCAAATGTTCAGTGATTGCCATAACACAGTGGCTCCCAGGGCTGGAG